TTTAAGACCAGCCTGACCTATACAGCAAGACCCTTTCTCAAGAAAAATTTTTAAAGATTTTATCATCTACAGATGTTACACCATCTTCATTTGTGTAAGTCAACTCCACAGTGCCCAATGAAATCTGACAAATGCATTTCTCAGAATGCATGCCTCTCACTCAGTGATGTGTAACTATTTGGATCAGAGACCCTTTGAGGCAGGGTCTCCCTCTGTAATTTAGGCTGCCCTTGAACTTACTATGTAGCCCAGGCTGGCCCTGAACTTGTGGGGATCCTAGGGCCTCACTCAGCTTTCCAAGTGCTGGGATTACAAGTGTGTGTCACCTCACCCAGTGTCAGATAAACTGATGACTCAATTTATTTATTAAGACTTAACTTCCAAAAAAAAAACCAGTAGTAACAATGGTGCAGTTTGATTAATCATGCAGGGATATCACCCCCCCAAAGTTACTGAACTCACTTGTCTGACAAAACAAAAATTACCCACATAAGTGAGACACAACATCTGAAAAGAAATAAAAAAAAAAGGCGGCTGAGAAGGGCAGGTTCAAACAAAAGGAACAGAAGAGCCAAGGCCATTTATCCAAGGATTAAGAAGATTTAGAGGACTCCAGGAAATACTTATAGTTTGGAGTGCTTCTCAGAGTACCAACTACAGAAAACAGCCCTCCCCACCAGGACATAGCATACCCATACCCAACACTACTACAGAATCCAGTTTTCCAGCACTTACTCCTTATCAACAATTTCAACTGAAAGGGCTAGGGATTTAGCTCAGCAGCATAAGCCCCTGCCTTGCAAGCGCGCAGTCTTGAGTGCGATCCCTGGTACCAAAAAAAAAACCAATTTCAACTGAATTTTGGGGTATTTTCACCTTGTAGTTCAGGCTGGTCTTGAATTGATAGCGATCCTCCTCCTGCCTCAGCCTCCTGAGATGTATGCCACCACACCCCACCCTCCCAAGAAAAAAATTAAAGGCCTGTATAGTGTACTTTCATGGATATTTCTAGCCAAGTAATTTACTGTACTCTTTTTGGATACTGATTCAGAAAGTAACCAATAAATTTTATATTCTTGATGTAATTAATAAGGAACATAGTTATGGTACTACAAAGCTTACGAAGTCAAAAGCTCTGTAAGCAATAATTTTAGGTTTTTAGGGAGAAAATTCAAGTGAGAATAAATCAGTATTACTTCTATGACAGTTGAGAAAAATAAAACGATTTTTTTTTGTTAAGTTTTATTCAGGGAAACTCAGACCTTACAAAATACTTTTCTCTGTCTCCTTTCTCAACATATTTCTACCCAGAACCTCAAATTAGTGTCTGTGAGACTGGTAACTTCCAAGACACACTACCAAAAATACTTCTAAAAGAAAAACTTGAGTTGGGAGTGACAGCACCCACCTGTAAACCCAACACTCTAGGAAGCTGAGGCAAAAGTATCAAAGGTTCAAGCCCAGCCTAGGGAACTTTACTGAATGAATCCTATGTCAAAAAATTTTAAAAAGGACTGTGGCTCAGTGCAAAGGCTCTGGATTCAATTACCAGTGTGCCCCCCTCAAAACACACACACACACACACACACAAGCTCAAAGAGTAAGGAACACTATTCCATGGATGACCAAAGGCCTAAATACCATACTAACCTTACGCAACCCTACTTTTGCAAAGGCTATGGTGTAAGTATGACCTTCAAATTCATTGCCATTTTCACACTTTCCATTAAAAATGTACTTAATGTCATTTAATAGAATGGCCCCACCTAAATAAATAATTCACAGTTTCAATGATACAAATTTCAATTTCTGACGTTTATTACTGGTGCTATGAAGTAATTTGGGAGACAGCCTGTAGAATTAGCTAAAAAATTTACTTCAGGAAAAACTTGCCTGATAGTCTTTCCAAATGCTGGCCAAATTTCCCTGCAACCATTAGAAGCCTGCCTGTCTACCTACAATCCTCTTTTCTCAGCAGTTTCTACAATTACATTGAGCCACCAACCTGTTCCCATGTTTTCTTTCCCTCTTTCCCACATCACATCTCTCAATTTTCTTGAGGACTATCACACTTCACTATTACAATAAACAGTTCCCAAAGAGTAAACTCATATATATATATATATATATATATACACACACACACACACACACACACACACACGTATGTATGTATGTTTCCGGAAGGAAAAAAAAGTCATAAATTTGCAATTATAATTTTTTAAAAATGATACCTACTTAGCAACTTTTCATTGAAATAGATGTATGCCTGTTTGTATTAAATGCCAGTATAATGACCTTTGTCTAGTTGAGTTCATTAAATTACAGGATCAAACTATTACTTAAACTGAGCTGATAATTGGAAACAGGCTTTTCTTGAGACAGGGCCTAGCAATGTCCAGGCTGGCCTTGAATTTACTATGTAGCCTATGCTGGCCTCCAACTCCCTAGATACATACTGAGTTACTTTAGAATGTAAGTAATAAGCCATGCATGGTAATGTCTGTAATCACAGCACTTTTCTAAGTCCTTCTGGCTGAGGCAGGAAGAGTGCAGTGAGCTCAAGGCTGGCCTGAGCTAAATCAGCATGGACTACATAGTGAGACCTTGCATTTAAAATAAAAAGAGAGAGAGAGAGAGAGACTGTAAGAATATAAGGTATAAAAGCAAATACAAACCACAATATACTGTAAATTTCAGCCTAGCATGCTGGCACACCTGTAATCCTAGCACTCTAAGAAGACTGGGGCCGGAGGACCAGAAGTTCAAGTCCCATTTGCACAACTCAAAGAGACTCAATAAGGGGTGGGGATGTAGCTAAGTGCAAGGACCTGGTTCAAGCCTCAGTGCTGCAAAAATAAATTAGTAAGTTCAAGCCATAAAACATGAATTTCTTTTTTTTTTTTTTTTTTTTTGTCTTTTTCGTTTTTATTGGTACCAGGGATCGAACTCAGGACTGCCTGCTTGTAAGGCAGGCGCTTATGCCGCTAAGCTAAATCCCCAGCTCCAAACATGAATTTCTTTAAATCTGTTTTACATGAACTTTGTTTTTGTGCAAAGCTACCAAAGGCACTAAATCATTTCCACTGCAAAAATAACAGCACCATCACTAAAAATATTTTTCATTTAAGTATTCCACAAAAAAATCTGTACAAACAAATCCAAGCAAGAAGCATTCATGCGTTTTGGCAACAGGAGTGTAGCACTAAGTAAAAATTTGAGTGGAAAACCTGCCAATTGTGCATGCTATGGTACGCACATACAACAACCCTCCGCTTTGTCCCTAAAACAAAACACCTAAAATATGTAAACTATCTGCAAAGAATGGGCTGCCTATCGGGCAGAGATTTAAAACTGAAAGCAACTTGATGTAGCATGTAACAAGGAATGTTTTACTCTGTGTATCTCTCTGTAGTAAGTGTAAAGGTAAACAATACTACTATATACTTAAAAACGGTGAATGAAGTACCTAGCTATCTTATCACTTGTGCAATGTAACTCCCCATTCCAAAGAATAAAATTCAAACACTGACAAAAGACATGAAAACACGAAGGTATATGGTAAATTCATTTGTGAATATATTCGAAAACTGGAGAAAAATTAATTTGACTTCAAATTCATTTATGAAAAAAAATCCTAAACTTTGATAGCAAAATTTGAGATATACTTTTAATTTAAAATTTCCCATAAAATGATCCCCTGTTAATGTCAATATTCAACCTAGAACATCCATCCCTAAACATCAAAGATGGCAACCTCAGTAACAGCAGTCATCAGAACCCCGCTGATAACTGAGTTCATGGGCACGTACATGATTAAAAGCACGATTCATTCTGACCTCCGGTATTGTCAGATCGGAGCTACCAGCGGTCCCTCTAAATACTGCCGTGAGTTAGTGTAAAAGCAAAGTCCAGATGACAGGGACGTTAGCAACGGCCAAATAATGGGAGGAAACGCTACCCCGAGGCAAGAGATGGACCACGTCTCGTTCTAGGCGATTGGAGAAAGGTACCGCAGGAGAAGGGGCGACAAAACGTTTAACAGGTCTGGGCTACTTTGGAAAATGGCCAAGGCAGCGAGAATTGATAGTAATGTTTGGAAGTCAGAGAAACAGCGTCCCGGGCTCCCTTGGCTGCGCCGGCCCGCGGCGGACTTGGGGCGCGGGGCGGGGAGGGACGGTCTCGGGGCGCGCCCGGCCGAGGGGAGAACACGCTTCGTCAGGTGGCCCGCAGGGCGGGGATTCCGCGTCGCCTCAATGGGGTCACTGTACTCCCTTGGAGATTGGGGGACGCTGACACAGCACGTCCCCCGGCCCCTCCCTAACAACTTGCCTGGTCCAAAGAGCTGCGGGTCCCAGGCGCCCGGAACCCAAGGCTCCGCCATCCAGGACAACTGCTCTGCCAAAGAGGTCCCGCGAGAATCGGAAATCTCGCGATACAAAGCCCAGCGCCTCTCGCGAGCTTCCTCTGGAAGCAACATGGAGGCAGGGAAAAGTCAGTACTTAGGAACTTTACAAAGTGCTTCCCTAACGGAGTTGAGAACGTGTAAAACTCAAAAAGAATACGAAGTGCTTTATGCCCTCTAGAGCGCCTCCTCTTCTCTGGGTGGAGAACAGCAGCAGCAAATGTCCCGAAAACTTGCAGCAGGCACAACCATTACACATAGCGCCTCCCTCCAGCTCCCTTAGCAGCCCTGCCGGTCACGTGGGAGCCTCTGGCCGGCGTGTGGGTCACGTGGGCCGCGGCGGAGCGAGCGCGTGCCCGCTGCCCTCCCCCGGAGCCCTCCCCGCCCCCCCTTCGCCCGCGCGCACGTGCGCGCGCACCGCCGCCCCACGTGGGGGCTCCGCCGCCGCCGTCGCCGGCACCGTCGCCGCCGCCTCCAGGCCACCCCCTCCTGGCGCGCAGCTCAAAACCCCGTCGGGAGCCGGCCATACCCCACGGCCTCGCTTTCTCCCCCGCGGGGTGTCCGGCCCCGCCACGTGCCCCGAGCGCCCCCTCACCTTCCTCGCGGGGCCGCACGCCACGGCCCGCTCGGGGAGGAGCCGCCGCTGTCGCCGTTACCCCCGCCGCGGCACTCGCTCCGGGGGCCGCCGCCGCAAGAAGCTCCACAGCGGCGCCGCAGCGCTTCCAGGTGGTCCCCGCCTCCCGCTCCCGCCACTTCCCGCAGCACCGGGGCGGCTTCCGGTCCCCTCCTTCCCCGCCGGGCCGCGCCGCGCGGGCGCGCTCACTGCACCGCCTGCTGGTGGCCGCGGCCGGTGCAGCGCCCGCCTCACGCTGGCGCGCGCGAGGCTCAGTGAGCCCCGGGGCCCCGCCCCGCCACGCACGCACGCACGCACCCACAGCATCCTAGCGCACGAGCAGAGGCAGGAGGATCGCCGCGATTTCGAGGCTAACCCGGGTTACAAAGGGAGCACTTACCTCTGAAAAAAAAGAAAGAGTAGGAAACCTTCCCCCAGATTTCTCGTAATTTGATGTTCCATACATATTTCGGATCCCGTCTCCCAGACCACTTATGTAAAAGAACAGTTATCTGCTTTTACTCGCTTTCTTCAGAACAGTTACCATGTTGAGACATTATTCCTAGATGCCCTCAACCACTAATTTTTTTTTAACAATGCTTAAGATTGAAAGAAGGGCCTCGGACATAGTGGGTTAGCACTCTACCGCTGAATTACATCCTCAAGAATAATTTTTTAAAAAGAAAAATTTACAATAGTTGAAAAAAAGAGAACTTAGTAACTTTTGCTCATTGCTGTATATCCAGGACTGCCTGTGGTACAAAACAGTTCTCAATAGCCTCAAAAACATGCATTAGCACTAGGTATGGTGGCATGCACCTATAATCCCAGCACTCCCGAGGCTGAGGCAAGAGGATCACTGGGAGTTCAAGGACAACCTGGGCTACACAGTGAGCTCAAGGCCAGTCTGAAAAGCCTAGCATCTAATAGTGGAGATCAGTGCTTTTTTTCGAGGATGATAGACCACTTAACCCTGTGAGCTGCAGAAAGCTGTTGATCCTACATACATTTTTGTGTTGAGAAAACAGGTTCCATTACTGCCCATATTGGAACTGCAGAACATACCATAGGAATACCAAAGAAATGCTTAAAAGGCACTTTAAGTCTCAAAAAAGTCTCAAAGTAAGAAAATATAGTCTCATAAAAAAGGAATACGGTTGTACCCTCAGTGATAGAATATACTGGGTTCAATCCCCAGTACTGGGAAAATTAAAAAAAAAAAAAAAGACAATCAGATATTGTGTGGCCTTCCACCCATACCCCTCACTGTACCAGGCTGGTTAGATTGTGGCATGCATGTTACCCTAGTAATGGCTAGTGAATGTAGGACACAGCACTACCCACACACCTGTAATCCCAGCTACCCAGGAGGCTGAGGCTGGAAGCTCACAAATTGAAGGACAGAGTGGGCAGTGCAGCACAACACTCTCAAAGTAACAAGAATGTGACTCAGTGGTAGAATGCTTGCCTAGCATATTCGAGGCCTGGGTTCAAACCCTTTAGAAAGCTACAGCGTTTACCTGCTTGGAATCCAGCTGCCGAAGGGCAGGCCATTGTGTTCAAGAGACAGCAGCCACATAGAGCAGTTCAGATCGTGAGAGACAGGCCTTAGGAAAAGTAAATGTGGCACCTTGACCAATGGTCAGTACCAAGGCCCCGTCATGAGATGTCCCCTTCATCACCATCCAGCACTGCCTCTGCTGCAGCTGAGCACAGTCAGATGTGTCACCCAGCCAACACGACCCAGAGTGAGTTTGGGCCAAGTAAAAGTGGGAAAAGCAGCACACTACAGGGCGAGGGCAGCCACCATGCCAGCTCAATTTTGAGACGCTCTGCTGGGCTATGCTATCCTTGAACCTGAGTAGTCTCGTGACTTTACCATTGGAGAACTACCTCTGCTGCCATAGTCACGGACAGCCTCACACTTGTGCACAACAGTCAGTGGCAGGACTTTTGTGGTTGAGAGATGAAGAACTGAACGAATTTGAAGGTCTTAGCTGATACATCTGTACCTGAGTAGCTGCTATCGTAAAGTACGATGCCTCCATCATACTGCCAGACCCCCATACTTCTGACGTGAACTCATCGGCACCTAGATGGGAATCATGGACTTGATGCCACCAGCAACTAAGGAAAAGCACTGTAAGACTAAGCAACTGGCAGGGCATGTTAGTCCCATCACGCAGTACGGAGGATACTATACCTCATGTCTAACACAAAGTTTCACAACAACTCAAGCAGGTAGATAGCCATTTTGCAGAAAAGGAACTCATCCAGGCCACCCAGAGAGTTAAGTGGCAGAGCTAGTGTCCAAGTTCAAGCAGTCCACTGTAGTAGGCTGACTACGTGAGTGATGTCTGCAAGCACATCTTTTAGGATACAGCTTTGCTATTCCACTTACTGAAAGCAGAATCTGTCCCTCCCTTGAATCTAAGTTCAACCATGTGGCTTGCTTTGGCAGTGAAATGTTAGGTGTGATACACATATTGACTGGAAAATGATTTACTCCTTTCCAGGGACAAAAAAAAAAAAAACATGCCTGGCTTGGCTGCTGAGGAGCTACCCCCATCTCAGCAGAAGTCACACCAGATCAGCCAAACCCAAGACAGAGAAGCCCAAAGAGGGTCAGTAGATGCCCTGTGAGCTCACCTGAGCTCAGCCAAGACCTGACTAGCTGACACCATGGATTTAGAAAACAGATTAACATTCTTGGACATGTGTTAAGATTTGTGTCTAGATGTCCCCCTAAAACCTCACGTGCTCATAGGTGGGGCTTTCAGAGGTGGCGGATCTAGGGTATGTAACTCTGGGATTGAGTCATGTTGCAATGGTTCAGTTAAGTGTGCTGGGAATGAAGGGTATAAGTGCTACCTGCCCTAAATAGCCCCGGTAAAATATAAGGGCCAGAAAGAGGTTTGTCTCTTGTCACCTGTGGCTTGTTAACTGCCTTGCTACCTTCTGCCTGCCAAGAACTGTGTCTTCACTGTTCCATCCTGCCTTGTGGCCAAGCCACCAATGGACTGGAACCTCTACAAACTGTGAGCCAAACCTTTCCTTGAAGGCTGTTGGATTTTTTCATCTCAGCAAGGAGAAAGATAGTATCTCTGAGTTTAGCAAAAAGTAGCTGATAAGCTGGATCTGTAGCCTGTACTCTAATGACTTCATATTTCTATTCAACTCGTTGAGTTTTACGCAGTGGTGCTGGTATTCAAGTACAAGCAACCTCACTGCAGCAGAGTGCATTAATTGTTCACACCTCGCTGTAGGCACATCTTCAGTGACAGGACTGACATGTGAACAGACATATCCAGCAGAGTTAGAAAACTGGACTTCTATTTGGAAGGGACAGGACATCTAGTGAAGCAGTTGAGAATCATCTTAAAAGAAGAGCTAGTTGGAACCAGTGTAGTGAATGAGCTCTATTAATGATGCTAACATGAATGTAGAAAGTCAGACTTAGCATTGAAAGCCAGAATAAAAAGCTGGAGTAAGACATGGGAGTAGGCCTCGTGAAAACTTTAGACTAAAGCTGTCATGAGATTATGAGATTTCCTACTTGTGACTTCTGAAAAAAATCGTAGATTTTGGAGTTCTTGGGTACATTAATAGTTAAGAGTATTTATGGTGGTGTTATAATGGTTTCCAATGATAGCCCACTTTTTTCCCCTAGAGAACTAGTTTCTTACCTACCCCCTCCACTTCTTTACACTTTTTTTTTCTTTTTATCGGTACCGGGGATCAAACTCACGACTGCCTGCTTGCAAGGCAGGTGCTTATGCCGCTGAGCTAAATCCCCAGCCCCTCCTCCACTTCTATTCTTCAAAATACAAGTATTTTCAAACTAAATCACCACTTGCCTTTGAGAGGCATAGCAGTCATGTCAAAACACAAGGAAATTGCCTCTTTCTCGATAACAAGTAACTACACAATATTTTTAAAGTTTGTTATGAAAACAGTGATTGCTGATCCATGGCATGATGATGCACACCTGTAATCCCAGTGTTCAGGAGGCTCAAATCCAGCCTGGGCTCCAGAGTGAGTTTAAGGACAGCCTGAAGGACATAGCGAGACACTGTCTCAAATAACCAAAAGAGAGACTGCTAATGTCATGTGTGAGGAGAAAAAAATAAATTTGAGCAATGTAACAATAGGAGACAGTAAATGTGAAAAGGGGGTGAACACTAAAGTGAAAATGAAGTGAAAAATGCAGGTAGGCAGCCTGGGGATTTAGCTCAGCGGCATAAGCGCCTGTCTTGCAAGCGTGTGATCATGAGTTCGATCCCCAGTACCAATAAAAAAGAAAAAAAAAAAAAAAAAACAAAAGAAACCTTAAAAAAATAAAAAAATGCAGGTAGATCTGGAAATCCACACATACAGTAAAGAAATGGGTGGCAGACTGTTTAGAGAATATCATTTCCTTGTTTTCTCCCTCCTGGAAAGGGAGAATTTTGCAAGTGGAAGTGGAAGGCTGGGGAAGGCACTGTGAGGAGGGAAAGTTTTAGCTCTATGGCATGAAGCATGAACACCTGATTTTTCTTTTTAATATACAGGAAAGTACAAGGCATCAAAGTGCTCCAAATTAAATCAGTCGTGGTGGCACATACCTGTAATCTTAACACTGGGGAGGCTGAGGCAGGAGGATTAGGGTAAGGTTAAGGCCAGCCTGATCTGCCCAGTGATACTCCAGATGAAAAAAAATGACTAAATAGGGTGGGAAGATGAGAAAAAGAGAAAGGTACCTTTTAATTTTTCAGTTATATGTTAATAAAACCTTTTTTTGTTGTTTTTGGTCTTTTTCCTTTTTTATCAGTACCGAGGATCAAACTCATGACTGCCTGCTTGCAAAGCAGGCGCTTATGCCGCTGAGCTAAATCCCCAGCCCCGTTAATAAAACCTTTAATCTAGGAAGACAAGATGTCAAATATTAAGAAGTAAGGAGAGGAAAACAAAACAGGGGAGCAAAGGCATCTGATGAACCCAAAGGGCACGTGACTTGTGAGAGCTGGTGTGATACGCCAGCCCAGAGAGCTGACAGAGGAATTCAAAAGGTGCCTCGAAGCATTGAGTGCTAAAGTGAATGAAAGACTGTGTATTAAGTGATTACCATGTAAGGACACA